GGAGGAGGAGGGGGAGGAGGAGGAAGGAGGAGGAAGGAGGATTAATAGGATGGGGCAGGAAGGAGGACACGGCGACGCATAAACATGATATAGCGACGACGACGACAACGGCACCGACGGTGACGGCGACGGCGACAACAGTCAACCATGAAGGTTTTGCAGACTTTTCAACCAAAGAAAGTATTGGAGGCCCCAACCCCTTGGGGCCATAGTGAGGCCCTCTTTGGCGCTGTCGTTGAAGTTTATTGCGCCTTTTTGGGGTCCTCTTGGGGCCCACTGTGGTTCTCTGAGGGCTCTCGTGGGGCCCTTTTGGAGGCTTGGGACCTTGATCCAAACAGGGGGTCTTACTTTGCCGCCCCCCCGTCGGGGCCTTCAACATCGCTTCGTGGGGCCCTCGTGGGACGCCCTTGGGACGCTGTTGGGTGCTCGCGGGGCCCCTTTTCGGGGTCATCCTTAGGCCCCCCGGGGGCCCTCCCGGCCCAGATTGGAGCCGTCTTGCGGAATGAACACAACGAGGGGGCGACATGCACATGCTCATGACATTGTTCGTGGGGGGGTTTGGCTTCTTGGGGACCGCTTTTGGAGGCGCACTGGCCCCTTGTAGCCGCCTTGCGGCGGCCTTCTGGGCATGTTGGAGGCAAGTTGGAAGCTACGTTGACATTGCTTTGCAATCCTGAACGATCCTGGAGGCCATCTTGGGTTTTCTTGAACCGTCGCGGAGCCATTTTGGGCCGTTCTTGGCGCTTTAACCCATCGCGGGGAGAGGGCCCCAGACCCATGGTGATTGGGGGAGGGGGACAATGAGGGTTGGACAACCGAGCCCTTTTGTCCATTCACGCCCTCAAGCGCAGGCGGGACGTCTGCTCGAATCGCTTATGGAGCAAACTCACGCACACACCGTGTATTCACGCGCGCGTTCACGCGTGCCCTCGTTCACTTGCGCGCGCTTGCTCGCGTGCACGCGCGTGCACGCGCGTGCCCACCCTGCCCTCCAATCCTTGGCCATAGGTGTTTCGGCCCACTGACCTACCAACGCGTGTCTTCACTGGTGTTTGCAATAGGCCCCGTGGCCCGGCAATTTCTACATTTGCTAAACAAACATGATGTGCAGCCATTTGCACATGCACATGCTGTCTTACACCGTGTTATACATGCCCGTAACCCGTACTTGTGTATCCACAGTTTGCCGTCTCGGCGTTGTCTTATCGTTCGCCCTCCGCGGTTCCCTCCCATTTGGGGACCGCCAGGTCCATGCCCGTGTCTTTTCTTGCCAATGATGTGTTTCTTATGTGCATCCTTTTCGGGGAGGGGCATCCCTGTTTCGCCGTGATGCCATCCCGTCGCTGTGCTACAGCAGTGCTGCCGCTGCGCACCCGCCCTCAACCGTTTACGCTGCGGCTATGTCGCGGCGTTCCCCGGCGATGCCGCCCAAGGGCCCGCGTTGCTTCGGCTGTCCCGCGGCTGTCCCGCGCGCCCCTTTCAGTGCAGGGGGGCGCATTTGTTCATTTGAAAACAGTTGTTTGTTCGATAAGCCTTTCAAACACAACACAGTCGACGCGCGCGCCCATGTCGAAATCAGAACGAACACATTGTTTCGTTTGCACCCCAACATAACAGCACTGCAGGCGCAGATCCTTCACTCAACATATTGTAGATGCTGTGGCCGCGCGCACACCTGCTTCAGTAACCGCAGTACAACCCTGAGCCTTAATTTCACAATGCCTTCGTGGTGTATTATCGTTTCTCGGTTGTTCGAGTTATCCCTAAACATGTGGGTCGTTTCGTCTGCAACCAAAACAAATGCCTTTTTCGCTACTGCTGCGTGGTCCTCCTGATTTAGGTCTCCTCCCAAAAGATTAGGGGCACCTGTTACCGCTTATCGTTGCCGAACTCACAGGAGCACCATCTGTTTTTAGTTATCTCGTCCAGAGCCCGCATTCTCATCCCACCACGAGGTGCGGATACGTATCTGATAATTCCGTGCGGGCCACATGCTCGCGCCGCCACGCGCGCTAGTCTCAATATTTCCATAACCATTGGCGTTCGAAGCGCGTCAGGATGGAACCCGGCAAACAAAACAATGAAACCGCTAGTCTTCCAATAAGCAGTTTGCCAGATTTCTTGATGTGTTTGCGCCTGCACATTTCCCACCACCCACCCCCATCAACGCCATATCATCACTGCCGTTCTCGTCATCGTCAATCGCCGCCGTTGCCGCCAGCACCAGCACAATCCCGTGCATCACCGACACATGGACATCATCATCGTCATTGTCGTCACCAGCATCGGCGCCATCATTGGACTTGCCGTCGTCATCGTCGTCATTGCTACCACCAGAGCTAGAAAGGTCGTTGCCGACGTCGCCACCATATCGTGCCGGCCCGGGTCACCGACCCGCGCGGAAGTGCCCGCACACCAGCGCGACCTTTGAGACGCGTTGGGGGGTTTCATCGGTAAGCGCCATCGCGGCGGCACCAGCTGTGCCAAACCAGCTGGTGCATCTGCGCGGGAACGTGCGCGTGCCAGTGTGGGCGTAGAGACGCGCTAGCAATGTTTGGTCGACAACCGCAATCACTGGCGGATGGGTCTTGTCGAATAGGTTGACGGCGGGAGGGTTGCGCGAGTAGTGGTGCTGACACGTTATGCTAGACCTGATTAATTGCACCACGTCGTTTGCCCCGCATAGTTGTTACCAAAAAGCATGCACCTCGCTTGCTTGCACCACGTAGTTCATCACACCTATATCGCATGACATAGCTCACTCCGCATGTATTGCTGCACCGCGTCGCTTATAGCCTACACCACCTGGTGTACACCGCAGAGGTTGCTCCGCATAGCGGGCACCACGTAACTTACACCACATAGCATGCACAAAGCAAATTCCACCACTGTGCTACACACTATAGCTTGGGCCAAGTAGCTTACCCCGCATACTTTGCACCACATGTAGTGCACCACGTAGCTGGCACCACACATGTTGCGCCGTATACACTTCACGCTTACATTACCATGATTCGCAGTTCGGGGTCCTTGCTCGCAAACACAGATATGTATTCCGCGTCCATTTCGGACGTGTTGATTTGGGCCATCATGGGACGCGATAAAGCGTTTCAGGATGTTGCTCGAGATGGTTCATGGCACCCTTCGTTTTTGGGCATCTCCATATCCACAGCCTCGCATGTTTCCGCGGATGCCCCGCGGTGAACGCATACACGCGGTTGCGCACCACTGGATCGCGCCCCAGAGTCCAGACCGCATCGGGCGGACGGCAGCGGGGGGGCAAGATAGCCGTGGGATCGAGGGTTCCAGGAAAGCGGTCCTACAGTCAACCCGTAGAATAAGGACGCGCGATAAGGATGCAGGGGCCTGGGAAGACCATGCCGACACTCTGCGAGCGGTGCGTGGCCAGCGAAAGCGGCCAAGGATGGGACGAAGGGGCAAGGATTCCTAGGATAATTACCCTTTGGAAGGTGGCTCATCCTTAATCTTTACTGTGCGGGCTGACTGTAGTGGGGCCCTGAGTGGTCCCCAAAACTGCCGCCGCGGGCGGGCTGCGGGTCCAACATGTGCACGACAGGCGTACGTCTCTTCGCTTCCAGTGTAGGCCGCCCCTCCCTTGACGACTACCCGCGTGGACAGATGGACAGACCAGACGGGTGACATCTCATGCACGAAAGGTGCCCGTCTTTTTCACTTCCCGTGTAAGCCCCCCCCCCTGACGAATACCCGCGTGGACAGATGGACAGATAGCCAGAGGGAGGACATCTCATCCTTGTTTCCCGATGTGTGTCCATTCGGGAGTTGCATGGCGCGTCCAGTGCAGACCACCGGGGGGGCATCATGTCATCGTTGATTTGTCATACGCATGGCTGACGCTCATGTCCACACCAAGGGGGACCTCACATCATGGCGCGACGCGTCCATACCATGTGATCATCACCCGAACGGGTGTTCTGCGCGGTACGGATATGTGCGCCGCTCGTGATGAGAGCCCCCTTCCTCCTGGCCCGAGGGCCGGCGACGGCCGCGGGAAAGGGATGCTGTAGTATGGCGAAGGCCTTACGGCCGGTGCCGCCGACACTGAAGTCGGGACGTCCCCCAGGACCCCCGCTGGCGTATCCCCCCCAGGACCCGCCGTGACCCTGGGGAGCGGTATTCCAACCCAGAAGAACCCTGACCCACCAAAGGCATGACTTCCCCGGTTCCTCCGGGACCCGGGGGGCGGCGGAGCGCGGTCGGCACGAGGGGTAGCGACAGAGGCGGGAACCTCGAGGGCACGAGGGGCAGAGGGGCAGATGGGGGGACATGGGAAAAAGGTCGGCGGCGAGCGAGGGGAACCTCGAGGGCACGATGGGGGGAAGTGGGGGAAGCGGGCACCTCGAAGGGGCAGAAGGGAAGCGGGAAGCGGGCACGATGGGATGGGGGCATGTCGAAGGGGCAGAGGGGGACCTCGAGGGCACGGTGGGGGGAGATGGAAAAGGTCGGCGGCGAGCGAGGGGGGGCAAAGTGAGCAGGAGGCGGACCTGCTCAGAAGGCTCGGAAGTCCCCCAGCCTCCCGAGAAGTTTCCTGAGCCTTCCCCGGAGACAAAGCAAACTTCTCTCCGAAGGCGCGGGGACTTCTGAGAAGCCTCGCCGCCTTCTGAGAGGGCCTTCTCCTTCTCACTTCCCCCCCTCGCTCGCCGCCGAAAGGGGGAGGGCGGGAGGACGAGGTCGCACGGGGCCAGGACGAGGAGCAATCCGTTCCAGAGTGTTCGGGGATGCTTTCGGAGCGCTCGGGGACGCCCGGGGAAGGCCGCGGCGCCAGAGACACCCTCCGGAGCCGCCAGACCGCAGAGACTCTCGCTCCACCCTCCTGCTTGCTCTCCCACCCCCGCTCGCCGCCGACCAGGGCGGGCGAGGCGCCGGGCCCACTGGTGCCCCGCCTTTGGTGACCGGGGGCAGCGGCAGGGGCGGGAGGGACCCCTCGGCGCACGGCCCGCCCGCCGCCGCGGGTCGCGGAGGCGCCGGCGCCGTGCCCCCGCTGGTGGGCCGCGAGGGGCGCGCGGAGGCGGAGCCCGAGGCGCCCGGGGTATCGAAGCGGGATCGACGGGGGCGTGGAGGGGGGATCGCGCCGCGAGAGGCCCCTGGGGGCATCGGAGGGGGTGTCGGACGTCGGGAGGGGATCGAGGGGGATGGAGGGAGTATCGGGAGGCGTCGAGCCGCGAGAGTGGATCGAGGGGGTTTTGAAGGGGATCGAGCCGCGACAGGCCCCTGGGGCATGGAAGGGGCATCGAGGGGGGATCGAGGGGGGTCGAGGGGATCGAGGGGACCTGGAGCCTCGAAGGGGCTGGAGTTTTGTCCAGGTGGCTTCGCTGATTCTTGACGGCTTTCCAGCCTCGGGATGCATTCTGTGGCTCCGCTTCGTCGAGAACTTTCTGGGGCGTCCAGATCAGCCCGAACGGCCGCCGAAGAGCTGAGCATTGGCCCGAGAACGCTGGGCAACGTTGGGGGAGGGAGGCTCGGGGGCAGACGCATCGACCCTCCATCGCCCACTGATCGCTGGTGAGGTGCGGAAAGCCCACCCCGCCCAGGAACGTGCGAATTCGCCATCGGGGGTGATGTATCGCCGATTCCAGCTCGACGTTTCCCCCCTTTCCAGCTCGACGTTTCCCCCCTGGGCCAGTGTCACCCGAAAGTTCCCTTCCAATCGAGGGGGACCCAGGGGATCCAGAATCAATTAGGCTCAAGGGGGGGGGTCGAGGATCAAGGGAGTCGGAGATCACAGGGAGCCAGGGTGGATGGATCGAGGGAGATCGAGGGGGTTGAGGGAGGTGGAGGGGGGATCGAGGGGGGATCGAGATTGATCGAGGGGGGTCGGGGGGGGAATGGAGGTGGATCGAGGGGCATAGAGGAGGATCGAGGGGGGTCGAGGATGTATGTACTTTTCCTGGACACCCAGGGGCCTGTTCGGGCACTGGGCCTGTTCGGGCCTCTTCGGAGTGCTGCTCGTGGCCCGGGCCGGGTCCGCCCGAAGATTCAGGCCCGAGCGCGCGTCAGGACGGGTCCACGGGCCAGGTTTTGAGGGAGGGCCCGGTCGTCGTCACGAGCAATCGCGGCGCCAAGTTTATCCGAGGTTTTTAGGTTTTTGGGTCCTGCGGGGGCCCTAGGTCCCCCCAAGGGAGTCAAAGATGATCGAGCTTCGCGCGCCTCGGTCTGTGCCACATAACTATTGCCAGAGCTCCTCCAAGGGGATGGCGCGAAGGCGTGAAGATAATCGCGCGTGGCACATCGCGGGGCACGATGCGCGAAGTTAGGTGATCTACGGTCAAAACTCGTAGTAAGGACGTGCGGATGTCCCAGGATACCCTTACGTCCCTGCCTCTGCGGCCCGTCCTTCGTGATTTTCACTGGCCAGCCCTTGAGGGTGTTGGCAGTCGGCCGCCCAACAAGTGCCAGTTTCGGCGCCCGTGCGTCCTTACCGCCCGTCCTCACTATAGATTTCGATTGTAGTGCCCGCTCCCAACCCGCGGTGATTTCAGAACACACGGTCTGGCCTTGAGAGGCCATGCCGTGGGCAGAAGCAGTGGCACTGGAGGCCCAGATTCGAGCAGTCCCTGAGTTTGTTTGTTGTTTGCAGGCCTTTCCTCCTCCACCTCCTCCTCCAGCTGCCGTGACAGTCCAAGGCAGCATCACAGCAGCGTACACGAGGTCCACCAGGGGACCCGTTTGGCCTCCCCCCGAACATTCGACCAGACTGAGTCTGTCTCGCGGACGGCAGGTCTGGAGGTTGGCCTGGACGCCGCGACGGATGACCATGTAATGCTCTTTCCGGCACCTGAGCCGCAAACTCCATCTTAGTGAACGGATTTGGCCGTCAATTCCATCGTAGTGAAACGATTTGGCCGTCAACTCCGAGTTTGCGAACCCCCTCGATGGCCTCCTTCCGAGTTGACGAACCCCTTTGACGGCCTCTCTCCGAGTTGACGAACGCCCTTGATGGCATCCCTCCAAGTTGACGAACCCTTTGACGAACCCCTTTGACGGCCTCCCTCTGGGGTGACGAACCCCCTGTCATGGCCCCCGTCCGGATTGATGAGCCCCCTTGGACGGCCACATTCGCCGCCCATTCCGCCTTGACTAACAAAGTGTCGGGGCTGAATTGACGGTTCCTCTCGTGTTGACGAAGTGTTGGAGCTGAGTTGACGGTTTCTTTCGGTTTACCGTACGTGGTCTTGGGGCCGATTGGACGACTGTTGTGGGCGCTTCTCCAGACATGCGCCGTCCCAACCAGTGGGTTGGATTCATGGCCAGACATCGGCGGCCCGCTGGCCGATGACCTTCCGCGTCCTTGGATTCAACTCTCATCATCCTGCAGGACCACGGATGGATGAAATAATCATGGCGTGTTCCAATATGGACATACCAGCGTTGGCTGGACACCTTTCGAGCCACAGGACAAGAGAGGGCATCTTGGGAAGGCGAGTAATGGGGCACCAGACTCCAGAGGCAGAAGCAGGAGAGGGCCCCGATACCAATTGATCGACAGGCTGCGCAATCATCTTACATCGCTCCTCCTCGCAGAAGAATATTCGGAGAATGCGATCCAGCCCAATCGGGGTCTTCGGACATGCCATGGCAGTCCGAATCGTTCGGGGCCCATTGGTCGCCACGATGATAGGACTCTGCTTTCTCCCGCAGCCGAAGTACGCGAAAGAGTCAACCAACTACCTCCAGACAGTGCGTATCCTCATCAATTGGTACGGTTCCGTACTTTCGGCGCCCCACTTCAGGAGCACACCCATTCTGTACGAGGACCTCAAGGACGGTCAGGGCATCAGTCGCGCTGGCGGCTCAACGCAGCAGGTGGGCACCAACGCAGCCGGAGGTGGCCGCAGCCGAAAACATCGAAGAAACGGAGCAGGTGAACGCCTGTGCCAGCTTCGCGAGCGGCATCGCTTAAGGGCAATGGATACACGATCGATGGATTTGCAACCTACATGGTTTGGCACACCTGGTGACCAGAGCTGCATTGATCTTAGGTGCGCCCCCTTTGGGCATGACGGGTTTTGTGACGGTGTGCCACCCGCTGCGTCGGCTTTGAGTTTCGATCCAGGCGCGTCGTGGACGGCCGCCAAGAGATAGCGTGCCACTCTACATGGACATGCAACGCGTGAAGAAGTATTCCCCGCGTAAAAATCGCACCCAGTGGAATGCGGGCGCCATCGTGGAGGCAGTGCACAGAGGAGACCATTCTTACGCGCCGTTCAAGCTAAGATTTTGGAAGAGGAAGATACGTGGCGAGATTTGCCCCCGCGTGGACAATACGACCAGACCTTTGCACTCCGTGAGGCTCTGCCCATAAAGATTGGACAGCGCTTCTTTAAGGCCAAAATGACGACGGGCGGGAACTATTAGCGAGATAATCAACAATGAGAACGACTACTACGAGAACCGACCAGTTTACGATTGGCGCGCGCCCAGGCAGATGATTGCAACAGAGCTTGCATTTTATAGCGACGAATTTTCCAACAGGTCAGGCTTCAGCGGCGAGCTGCATCGACGCTGACGTCAGGACCGACTGCAGGAACTTGACGACACACGCAACAGCAGAGGCTCGCTGAAGCTGCGAGATTCACCCGACTTGCAGCTGCATGTGGTTGCGGAGCAAGCAACGAGATGGCCGACTCATACGAGGCGGTGCGCCCACGGAGGCGAAGCTGGATTCGTTCTGGGCATTTCTGAGCGCAGAAGAAGGCGCGAGCACAGCGCCCAATATTGCCGAACAAGCACTGGCAGATTACCTCGATCCTGGCCCTGTCTACACCAGCGCCGGCGACTGCGAGCTGGTACAGAATGACCTTGGGGGAATTAGGCGTCGCTTCCGATGGGCGCAAACTCGACGAGCTGCGCCGGCCACCGCTTTCCCCATGGCGTTTCAGAGGTATGTCTCAACCCTGGGCGTGACCTTGAGCGCAGGATTTGGGTTAGGATAGATCTGTCTATGCCAGACATGGAATGTGTTTCCACATTCATTCAAGCTGCCTTTCGGCGAATCCGATCGACCAACAGAGCCCCGATCGCCTGGCGTCGCAGCCATGGCGCCCGGTCGGGGAAGAACTCCACTCCAGGTCCGAAAGGGTCTTCGGACGGCGCATGGGCTGCGCGCAGTGGGCAGCGCCGTTTATCACGATGTGCTTTATACCCCCCGCGAGCTTTTCGAGCACGGCATCGTCCCTGGCAAGAGGCGCGAGGAGGCCATGTTTGTGAGTCAGAGCCCTAGTCGGCGCCAGTGCAAAGCAGGCCGCTGTTCTGCCCTCAGCCATAATTCGCTTGAGAAACGCTTTCCATCGTGGGGGGCGGGGGGGGGGGGCATGCAGGGTGCGGTTCACTTGCGCGCCGTGCCTGCGGATGTCGGCCCCTGCGACCGGCGCCGCAAGCTCCGCGCGGCTTCCGAGGAGAATCTAGAGGGGGGGGTCACCTTGAAGACGGGCGAGGGCGGGCCCGTGGGGGGCCCGTTCGTTGCTCGGCATTTTTCGGCGCACGTCTGTGCGACTACTAGCGAGATGGAAATGCGCGACGCAGCCGACGCATGCTACATCTATTCAAGTAACGGCGAGGTGGAGGGGGATGAGGGCCAACGTGGGAGGGGGGCACGCACGTTTGCGACGTCTTCCTGATTCGCATGGCTCCCGCCGCGATTCACCTGAAGGACTTCCCGGACATGTTGGGGAGGCGGCGATGGCGATCTCGATCGGGAACTCGGGGGGGCGGGGCCGCGACCTGCAAGCGGCGGGCGCGGTCCCATCCAGAGATTGTGCCAGGCAGTTTCTTTCAAGGACGCAGCGCGCCATCTCGGCCCGACGCCGGCTATAATCCAGCCGGCCGAGGCCGAGGTTGGCCGGCGCCGCGCAGCAAGCGCAGACCCTTTGTTTTGCGTCGCCCTCCATTGGGCAGGGCGTGGTCCTTCGCGCTACCGCGCCGCTGGCTGCGGACATTGCTCAGTTATGTTGTGCAGAATGTAACCATTGCGGGCCCGGGGCCACTCCTGCCCCCTTCCCCGGCCCACCGCGGTCAAGTCGA